AAATAATTTTAACAATGGCTAATATCTTGTCTCCAAAATAGTTAACTCCAAAAGCACATGTTACACACTCAGGAGAGTTGGTTACACATTAGTAGAAAACTGTACATCACTGTCATTGTTGATGTGGTAAATAAAAATTAAAGGGGAAAGACAATATGGTTCATTAGGAAGCAAGTAATATTTCCTATGATGGTGTTATATTTTTAATGACTGTAATGACTTATAAACTGGAAAATAATTTGTACAGATTCTATATCCCCTCTTCCCAGCATATATAAGAAATTACATCACTGACTCAAATTATAATTGTAGAAAAGTAGAAAAAATGATTAATAGTTTCATTTATTCTCCTCTCTTGTCAAAAGGGGTGGTAGGAGAAAGGGGGAAGGAATTCTTGTTAGTTGCAGGAATCAAAGAAACGTAAAGTTTTAGGATTAAATATAGTGGGATAGTACCAGTAACATGTACAAGTCAGTAGGAATCAATCTCTTAAGTGCTTCCCCTTTCACTTTGTTCTTCAGGAGAGTATTGGCTTGAAGTACCATCAACAATGATTACCATTTGGCTTTCCATCCAAGTTAATATCTAACATCTCAGATATGTTCTCATCTTCGATCAAAATTTACTTTTAAAACATATGTAATATTTGCATGGTTCAAAAAACTATGTAACTCTGGACTCACTTCCATCCTCATCCGTTTTATTCATTCCACCCACACATTATACATTATTATTTTCTTAAGGCTTATACTTCCTGTATTTTTGCCGAAATAAGCAAACGTATGTATTTAGTCTCATGTGCCCTTCTTTCTTATGCAAAAGATGGCATTCCATATATACTCTTTGAAGTTTCCTTTAAAATTTCCACCTAACAATCTTTCTTGGAAATGTCTCCATAATAGTGCATAGAGATCTTCCTCATTATTTTATTGTATTTATTTATTTACTTATTTTGAGATAGAGTATCACTCTATCCCCCAGGCTGGAGTGCAATGGCGTGATCTCGGCTCACCGCAACCTCTTTCTCCCGGGTTCAAGCAATTCTCCTGCCTCAACCTCTGGAATAGCTGGGATTACAGGCACCTGCCACCATGCCCAGCTAATTTTTGTATTTTTAGTAGAGTTGGGGTTTCATCATGTTGGCCAGGCTGGTCTCGAACTGCTGACCTCAGCTGATTCAGCCGCCTTGGCCTCCCAAAGTGCTGGGATTACAGGTGTGAACCACCACGCTGGCCTGTACAAATACTTTCATAGCAAGAAACAACTCTTAACCTTCTTTAAATTTAGAACTCATATTAGGGGTTTCAAAATAGTGATTGAATGAATGAATGAATGAATGAATGAATATACTGGATCCAACAGCAGTCTGACACAAGAGCTTGGGGACAGCTTTCAGCAAATATAAGCCAGATTTAGAGTTCTGAAGGCAGGCATATGTGTTTAGCAATAGCTTTTTCCTACTCTTCGGAAAATGAGGCAGCCTGGAGATGAGGTGGAGACCATCTTTCCTGCAGTTCCTATGTAATGGACGGGGTGCATCCTGGTTTGTGGCTTGAGGCTGCTGTGTGTCCAAGTAACACATTCATTCTGTTGTTGTAAACCGTACAGGAATGATGACTAATGCTTTGAGGAAACAGTAGAGGTCAGACAGCAAGCCCAGAAAAACCTGCCAGCACCAAGAGGATGTCCTCAACAAGTGCCTGGGGGACATATTATTCTAACTGAAGGGACCAGAGCTTCCCCAGGAAGGGAAGAGGGGAGAAATGAAGAATGTCTGTGTTCACGTTTGCCAAAAACAAAAGTCTGAGAAATCTCTAAGAGACTCTACATGGGAGGTGAAGTTTAGCTTTTCTAAGACCATTGTTGATTTTCCCTTTACCCTTGAAATGAACTGAAATATCACTAACGGTCAGACGAAAGCTCAGAGGTTCTAATAAAGAATATGAAATAGGTTAACGCTACTGCACCAGGATTTGACTGACTGTTAATACCAGGTTTTAAAATTCACTTGTGTCATTTATAATACAAATACCTGATTCACCTGCATTCTTTTGGTGGGGGGCAGTGAGGGAACCTGGGTGTGAATGGCCTCCTAAGCAGCAAAATCATTGCTAATATCAGCATTTTGCTGTCTCATCATCTAATTATCACATACAGTGCACTAATCGAAGCACCTCATTTAAAGTGGGAAAAGCTTTGCTAAGGGCAGATGATTCAGCACAGCACCTCTCAATGAGTACTGTCACTTCAAATCCTTTTTAAGAAATAGGTATTGTGCAACTAAAAGTAAAATGAAAGCATAAAGTTTATTAAGAAGTTACATGTTCCATTTTTTAAAGTCTCTGTAGTCACGATCATCCATTTTCCCCAAAACTGCCCTGTCACATAATAATATGCATACATACAAAACTTATTTCATGTTTAAAAGGCATCCCAGAGAGATGAGATGTGGATGGGTGTGAAGAGTGGATCTGGGGAACCGAATGGGTGCAGATGTCTCCACTGACAAAGAGAAAGGCATATGGCTTCCTTCCTCCCTGGTGTGCCCGGGTCTCAGAGAGAGCTCTAGATTTCCCTGTGATAAGCTTCTGCTTTCGAGCTCCACTGGGAAGATATTTTGTATGCCACAGAAAACCAAGATGTTTGCATTCCCACCAATCCAGGGATAAAGCATTTTCCTCATACAGACACAAAACATACAGTATATGAATGTTTAATGGAGGCTAAAACTGGGAGAGGAACAGAAAACAAGAACAGAGCAGGTTAAAAAAATATCTGGTTTCTCTCTATCAAAATACTAATTAAAATTCATGTTCATGGGGATGATTATACATATGTTTTTGAACTAAAAGTCTAACCTGGCACTATTTTTTGGCCTTATTTTTGTGACAACATTTTTGTCCATATGGCATGAAGTGAATCATTTTACATCTTTTTTTAAGCTCTATGTGTTTTTCTTGTTGTCTATTCCCTCTTCTCCCACCACACACACACTGGCAGCCGCTACCAAGTTACCAAATGCCAACTCAACCCTGCAAGCTGGCTGCATGGAGCTATATAGTACTGGCGTCTTCCTTTCTTTGCAGAAATATTCTCTGTGTGTGTGCGTGTGTGTGTCTGTCTCTCTCACACATGCATGCATGCACACACCCCACATACATACCATTGAAGCACCCTGAATATTTCTCCTTCATTTCCATGCTAATCTTTCAGCTCCTCGGGATTCTGCCCAGCTTCCAGTGTGCGTGCAGCACTGGCTGCTGGCCTGCTGCAGAAGACCACACCAGCTTATTTGGTGCCCCTCACCCTTGGCCTTCCTTCTCCATGGCATTCTGACAATTAGTGGTTAACTTAAGAACTGCTATAAATGAATGGTTAATCGAGCCCATATAATTAGTTTAGTCACAACAAAGTGCAAGACCCATGATCGTCCAGTGGTTCTCCCCCTACCCCAATCTCCCGTTTTAAAAATGACAGCAATCCATGTTCCCACTTTTGCAGACAGGAGAACGCTCCTTATCTGCAGTGCAGCCACACCGCCTAACCGCCTGGGTTGTGGATGGCACACGTTTTGTACACGTGCTGCCTCCACCAGCATCAGGCACTGCTGAGTTTGTGTGGAAGGGCAGCAACTCCACCTAACAAATGTAACTTTAACAACAGTAAAACAACCTAATAGCTTAGCATGCCAGGGGGCTAATGTGGCGGGCCATTTACTGCTGCACTAAATAGCCCCGGTTTGATTCTCATTGCCAAGTGTCGAACTGAGAATTGCAAGGCAGGAGTAGCTCCTAATTCATTAGATAAAGGGGGTCATTGCTCATAGGGCTGGGGAAACTGTAGAAGCATAAGAAAAAAAAAGAAACAAGGCATTCCCTTTTCAAAGGCCATCAAAACCTGGGCTACCCATGGTCAGGAAAAGCAGAGGCTGCTTTCTTGGTACTCATATGCTAACTTCTAACTTTGGGTAAATGTGCTTTGTTTTGCAATGTTCATCTGGAAAGAGACTAGAAGAGGAAGGGATCCTGATATTGAGCCATGTCATTTATTATTTGTAAATCACTTTGACACCCTTGGAACAAAAGTAACAACACAAGAACAAAGTATATAATTCAGTCTTGGCTGTAAAATGAGCCGCTACTGACATGTCCCTGCCAGCTATTCCGCCTTGTGTGCCCTGAAAAAGTTGCTGTGGATGGTTGTGACCCGGCTAATAGGCTGGGCAGGAAAAAGACCGCTAGCAATAAAAGGGAGAACAAAATTCTTGTTAATATTGCTACATCTGATAATATTGTCTTTCTTTTTCCTTTTTATTTTTATTCCAGGCAGTTATAAAGAGTTCTAAGTTCAAACTGCCCTCAATGGTCATCATAAGGTTATGTGGACAAAACAGTTCCCCTATCTTGTTTTTTAATAGAAAAGAGAAATGATCAAAAATTTCAAATGAGATCCCTAAAATGGGACATCTTTATTTCCTGAACATTAGCCCTAAAACAACTGATTTCTCTAATTCCTGCCATCACTCAGATTGGCCTTGAATTACCTCCCAATAGGCCTCCCATGTGCTTCTAGATGAGAGTGTGTAATGGGGGATCTGTTAATTAACTAGAAGCAAAGTTGCACGGTGGGGATCAAACACTGGATACGTCCTAAAACTCCCACAGAGAAGATGAAATGCAGCGCAAACTTTAAAGACTTCCCGTCATTAGCTGAGACCTTGCTGCTCCTGGCCCAGACCCCTCCTGTTTCTGAGAACAATGAGGACAATGATGGCAGAAATGAAATAGTGCAGCCAGGAACAAAGGAACTAGCTATTTACCGGTAGAAAAAGAAAAAAAAGGAGGGGGGAGGGGGAGAAAAAGGGAGAACTTTCTTTTTCTGTGGTTCCTGTCTACTTTTAATTAATTTATGACTGCCAGGGAATTGCACAGAGAGTACACCCAGGCGCATTGTACCCCAGCTCGGTGTTAATATATGTAACATCTACTGTTTACTCCCAGGAAAAGTGCAACCCGCTGGAGAGAGACAGAGGGACTCGGAGGAAGGAGAGAGAGAAGAGGTTGGAATGAAAGAAAATGGAAAAACTGTCAGGCTGAACCTTCACACTTAAGATCAGGGTTCAAACTAGAAGACGATAAAAACAAAAGAGAAAAGAAAGCCAACACCATCCCAGGAGTAACACATCCTCTTAGATCACTGCAAAAGGTAAGATCCATGCCCTGACACAAAGCTCAAATTTTGCAATTTTCAGAGGTTTCCTGGTAATATAAATTTCCTTCCATATAAATATAAATAAATATCACATCAATAGCAAAAGCACATAGTCATGATATTGACTTCTTATTCTTCCCTGCTTCTTGACAAGATAAATCTAAAAAATGGCAGTGAAAATTGAGAGAACAGCTGAATAACAAAACCTGACTAGTAAAAAACTTGGTCCTCATTTTGCGTTCCCTATTTTTGCAGAATTGAAATCAGGAGCTTTTCCATATATCTAAATCACAGGCTTCCATGGGATTAAGAGAAATAAGAGAACCAACAAAGTGCACAGAAAGGCAGCTTTGACCTTTGTTACTTCAGGTTGAAGCTCTTACTTTGAGATGGACCAGTAGATGAAGAGAGTCATTATTCAGAGGAGTTGCTCTTGCTCTTCAAATTTCAGTTAAAATGGCCACACCAGAATTATTTTATTTTATTTTATTTTTACTTGTTCATGATTGGTCATAATTTGCAGACTTTTATTCATAATTACCCCAAAGTAAAAGCAACCCAAATGTTTATCAACAGATAAATAGATTTTTAAAACTCTGGTGTAATCATACAGTGGAATACTACTCAGCAATACAAAGGGATGAACCACGACGGATACATGCAGCAGCATGGATGACTCTGAAATACATCATTTTAAATCAAAGAAGTCAGGTGTAAAGAGTACATACTATATAATACCATTTATAGAAAGTTCAAGAGCAGATAATACTAGCATGATAGAAAGCAGAACAGTGGCTTGCTTTGGGGGTAGAGGAGGGGAGGACCCCCTGGAAAGTGGCATAAAAGTGATGGGAATATTCTCTACCATGACTGAGGTATGGTTTTCACCAGTGTGTGTATATGTATCAAAACTTAGGCTGTAGTGTGCAATTAACTGTATGTAAAATATAGCTCAATAAAAATTAAAAAGTCAAATTTTTTAAGTACTGCATGTTGAAAACATGGCTCAATAATAGTTCGTATGATAAAGAAACATGGCCTCAAATTATCTATAACTGATTTGAACCACAAATACGAGGTGATTATTTAGAAAAAAACTTTACACTAATAAAGGTTGTATACCCAGGTCAAAGTGGAAAAAATATAGCTATACCAGTTTTCTTTTCGTAAATATTTGCCAAGTATATACACTTTTTATCTTTTTGCCTTTAACTTTCCTGTGTTCTTATGTTTACAGTATATCTTCTAAAAGCACTTAACTGTATTCTCAAGTAACCAATATAAAGTGATGAAAATTTGAATTATTTTATTTTTAAACTTCAGTAACAAGAGTCTCTTTCCTGTTTTCAAGTCACATGTTTATAACAATCAGTGGAAACTCTGCAGATGGATGAAACAAGCAAATCCCCCAGGACTGCTTTGTGACTGATTTTCTTACTTCTCACCTATCTAATATGAAGGGTTTAAATTTTGCTAAGCTCAATCACAAACTCAACCCTAGGGAGAAAAGGTCTTAAGCATATGGTTCAACCAACTGAAAATACTATACAATCAAAAGGAAGTATAGGCTAGAGGTTTACCATTAGCTGCTTCTTTGTTCTAACCAGTATTAAAGATTAACTCCACAACGAAGTGAAAGATCCACCATCAGTTACTGAGAAACTTATCTAATGTCTCTACACATATACTCACAAAGAGTAAGGGATTCCCCACCACGTTTTGTGATTGATATGACTATGCCAGTTACCAATGCTGATATGGCAGGATGGCATAAAAGAGTAGGAATGAAAGGGCCCACAGTTATATTCTTCCCACCTGAAAACTAACTGTGTGTCTTAGAAAACATGATGTACTCTACTTGGTCTCAGTTTCCTTGGGGATGATAATTCTCCTGATCACTTCATAGGGTTGTTTTGAGTATTGAATGATATATATAAATCAAACTATTCAAAAAAACCATCCATTTACTTTCAATTTGTCCTCAACTGTTCCTAGAACAGTGCTGGATCTAAAACAAAAGTATTCAGGAACTAGGAATCTACTTTAGGGTTACCAATTTCTTTGTGATTTTATAATTATCTTCAAACTTTCTGAATAAATTTGCAACTCAATCTAGGAACAATCACTTTCTAAAATCCACTTCAGATCATTCCATCCTGCCTTTCATTTACCTATGTTTTTTCATTTTTCTGCCTGTCCACCTACCATGGTATCTTGTGAGCAGGCTTACAATATTTTCTCCAAAGACAGTAATGGCTTACCTATTTTTGACTTCGTTCATCAATTTTCATCTTCCTGTTTATGTAACATTCTATTCATACAATATTCTCTAAAATTCTTAATATATTTTGCTAACCTTTCCGAGCTTCTGAAATGTGGGGATAACTCCAGAAATTTCCTTTACATTTAACAAGAGTTCTATAGGTTGCAGCAAAATCAAAATAACAAAGAACAATGACAGAGCCACACTTACAGCTGTAAAGAAGTAAGAACGTTTCTTGACACAAAGAGAAGCACACTAATACTTAGTACATTCAGGATTCAAGTAACTAACAATAAAAAAGTAAGTCTATTCCTGAAAGAAGGAAGACTCCTTCAAGGGAATAATCCTGATCATTAAGATCATAGTTGCTAGAGAGAGACATGCCCCAGGACAGGAAGGCAGGCCAAATACTGCTGATTTCTGGCTCTAAGAATGACTTGATGTGAGTAAAACCTCCTGATTTAATTCATAATTCTATTGGTTATATATCTTGGCAAGGGAAAAACATACATAACCTGGCTTTCATGGTCACTGTAATAGCTTTGAGAAGTACCTGCGTACCACTCACTGTGTTGGTATTCTGTTCGGCCTTAGTGTTCACATTTTTAAAAAAGTATTTTCTACTATTTAGAAATTGAGACATTCCATATAATAACCATATTTCTGTCACTTAAAAAAAAACACTTGGATGATCTGTCAAGGCTATGCCCACCCTTCCACATGGCAGCAATCTACTGGTATTAAATGGAAGCCACCATGTGATAGAGACACATAGCCCTTGGGTTCATCCCAGTCCTCACCACTCTGTCTGGCTCCTGTGTAAGTGGAGTTGTTGACACCTGAAGTTTTTGAGTAGGGGCTTTAGGGGATTGAAGTCGTAAAATATTCAGAAACTGTTCTCAGAGCATAGATTTCACAGCTGTTCCCTCTTATGCCTAACTTCACGATGAAAGACAAAAATGTAAAAACCAATAGAAAAATACAAGATAATAGGCACGCAAAGGAAATGAGAAAATAGATGTTTACATAAATGCAAGAAAAATAGGATAAGGGTTAAAAACTGTAGAGAACATCCTCACCAATATAATAATATGAATAACAATGAAAATATAAAAAGCACACCAAAAAAATCTAATCAATACAAATTAGAAAATTTAAAAATTGTAGATGATTATGAAGACAAATATGATGAAAAATTAATAAGCAAAAAGTGTGCCACAGAAACCATAACTTAATACAAAGAATTACAATTACGTTAAGGAAACAGAGGCACAATTACAAAACTGGGGATCAAAGAATAATTGTGAAAATGTGGAAAAGGGAAAAAGTTAAATTTAAGTGGCAAGTCAGACTCCAAAGTTGCACATACCTTTGTGTAAGCAAACTTTAAACTAAGTTAGCTTTGGACAATCCACCCATACGGTTGTCTTTCCAAATGAGGGTAATGAGCGTTTTCTTGAAGGCAACACTTAGTTGGTAAGGTTTGCGAGTTCTCTGAATTTGGGACTTTCAAAATAAGACTGCAGTGAATGGAATTGTCAACGTTGCTATTTGTCCCTATTGAGAGATAATGCAGCCAGCACAAGAAAGACCTATGTGCATATTTGGAGTTAAGTAACCAGGCAGTTTTTTAAAATAGATACCAGGAAAGAACAAGCTGGATAATAGAATCATTTTTCTTCATGCTCAAGGATGAACAGCTCAAAGATCAGAACTTGTATCATGACTTTTATCTTGGAAAATGTACTCAGAATAATAAAGGAAAGGCACCACTTGCATTCCAAACGATCAAGAACAATCTTTAGGGAAACTTTTGTTTCGTGAGCTCTTGATTCATATCCAGTTTGGGCTGTCCAAATCTACACATGGAATCCGGGGCCAACTTCCTCATACTTCCTATTGTGCTAGGGCAGTTTCTGCCTACTGTTCTATAATGTGTGCTTGGGAAGAGAAAGATAATTTTAGTATCAGTTGAAAGGGTCATGCCAGAGGATCCATAATATTTCATTGCATAATTGAGAAGGCAAATATTTTGCAAAATCATATTTGATCATTTATTTGTTCAGTGTCACAAGAATCTAAAGGATTCTATGTACTTGAATTTCTGAAATTACTGACATTTACCATATAAACAACACAATTTTTAAAAAATTTCAATCAGTAGCTTCCTAAAAATACATCACCTATTTACCTATCATGTTAAAGAGAGCGGGCTAAAGATGGCAATCTTTGTCACCAAGCCTGGAGTGCAATGGCACAATCTCGGCTCACAGCAACCTGCACCTCCCATGTTCAAGCAATTCTCCTGCCTTGGCCTCCCGAGTAGCTGGGATTACAGGTGTGTGCCACCACGCCTTGCTAATTTTTGTATTTTTAGTAGAGACAGGGTTTCACCATGTTGCCCGGGCTGGTCTCGAATTCCTGACATCTGGTGATCCATCCACCTCGGCCTTCCAAAGTGCTGGAATTACCAAAGTGCTGGTGAGCCACCAGACCAGCCAAGATAACACCTTTTGATGGCTTATAGTTATGTTAAGGAATATCACAATTATATTTTGAAGGATCCTGAAGGTTTATAGAGTTGTTAAATGCTGCAGTGGTGGTTCTCAATAGGGGTTGATTTTGCCCCTGCCCAGGGGACCTTTAGCAAAGTCTGGAGACAATTTTGTTTGTCACAAGTGAGGTGGGAGTGAGAGGGGGTGCTAGTAGCATCTAGTAGGCACAAGCCAAGATTGCTGCTAAACATCCTAAAACACATAGGTCAACTTTTTCCCCATAAGAATTATCTAACCCAAATGTCAGCAGTGCTGAGGATAACAGAACCCTGCGCTACAATAAACTGGATCAGTCTATACGCCTGCAGTATTTGCATGAGATTTTTGTTTTGTTTGTTTTGCTTTTTAAAATCTCCTCTGTACTGTCTCATACTAAAAGGACTTTCGGATGGCCCTTCATCTTTCTGATTTGCTACTTTATTCTGCTGTGGGTTGGAAAACATTTTTTTCAAGCTTCAGACAATCATATAGCCTATGAAAGATGGCTTTAGAGCTATCTTATGAGTAAAGCTTAGCAGCTCAGAGGCATAGAGTAATAAAATAATTTAATATTTTCTAAGCTTATTTTTGGTTCATATCTATTCAATTAGTAGACATAAATAAAATAATTTGATATTTTCTAAGCTTATTTTTGGTTCATATCTATTGCAATTACTAGAGGTCATCGGACTTCAAATATGTGAAGGAAAGTGTCTTGTTTATTCAAAATTAAAGAACCAACTAACAAATGAAAACTCAGAAAACAAAGTAACAGAAACCCTACATTAATCTGTACTCTACTAATACAGGACTAATAATATCTTGAAAAAGGTTGAGCTAAAATGTGCCTTCTACTCTGAGTAGTTAGCATAGCCAAATTCATATGATAAGACCCAGAAGAAGGGCACAACATTTATCTTCTTAAGAAAGTACCTTTTGTTATATGTACTTAATTTTTTATGAATTTCATTATAACTAGTGATTTTATATGTTAACGATTGTTAAGTCTCATCTATATTTAATTTCCATAGTCAACTTTGGCTAGTTTATGCATTTGAGACTAATACAATTTAATTTTTTTTTTAAATAAGGCTACTTATATTCAAGACTTTCCTTTTAATTAGTCAAAAGTCGGGAAATTGTAACTAACAGACAAGTTTGCATGATCCATTCTGGGAGTAATAAAGAAGTAATAGGCCAAGCACGGTGGCTCACGCCTGTAATCCCAGCACTTTGGGAGGCCGAGGCGGGCGGATCACGAGATCAGGAGATTGAGACAACCCTGGCTTACACAGTGAAACCCCGTCTCTACTAAAAATACAAAAACTAGCCGGGCGTGGTGGCGGCGCCTGTAGTCCCAGCTACTCGGGAGGCTGAGGCAGGAGAATGGCGTGAACCTGGGAGGCGGAGCTTGCAGTGAGCCTAGATCACTCCAGCTTGAGCGGCAGAGCGAGACTCAGTCTCAAAAAAAAAAAAAAAAATTAGCCGGGTGTGGCGGCATGTGCCTGTAGTCAGTCCCAGCTACTCTGGAGGCTGAGGCAGGAGAATGGCATGAAACGAGGAGGCGGAGTTTGCAGTGAGCTGAGATCACGCCACTGCACTCCAGCCTGGGCAACAGAGTGAAACTCCGTCTCAAAAAAATAAAAAATAAAATAAAGAAGTAACAGTGATGAATCAGGTGGCAGAACTTGGGTCGTTCTTCTCATATGTGTTAGTCTATGTACCTAGTGCTGAGAGGCATTGCTTGGTATCCTAATCCAACACATTCATCAATCAGACTACACATTAAATTCATTAACTTAATGATACAGAGTTACCACATGTAAATTTGAGAAACTGTGAAGATGAAATTTAGAATTTCCATAGGAAAAAGTTATCAATTCCAGATTGTTGCAAGCTAACAGGGAAAAAATTGGTCCAGGAAGCACAAACAGCTAAATTCTGATTTACTGCAACTGCCATCACAAAGGCCAGTCTTGGGCTGACTGATGTACACAGGACTATTTGGTTACAGCTTCCTTATCTTCTAATTAAGGACTCTGAAATGCAGTTGTGGAAACCGGGGAAAGATTATAAGCAAGAAACACAGCTGAATTTAAATTTGGGAAGCACTTGGTTGCCAATAAGACACCAATTCTTTGTTGAATTGAATTCAATTCTTGTTTCGAGTTTTTCAGCCTTTAACCACAGGGACTCTAGCCTATATTTCTGTATTGATTCACGGTAGAGGGGCTTGAGGGCATGAATGCAGGTGAAAGTAATAAACACATGGGGGTGTTGAGTGAAAGGTCAATCCCAGCCCCTCAAAAATAGGTCAGTATCTACAACTCAAAAAAAAAACACGTAGATCTGGAATGCTCAGTGAATCTTCTAGAAGCCTAAGACAGGGCATCAGTTGGGAAAAGATCAAGAAACTCTGCCACGGTCTTTTGATCATTAAAGGTGTACATGTCTACTAGAAAATGAGAAGCTGCCAAGAAATTGATAATTTTTGATGTAACAACTCCAGAATACATCTCCCAGCAGCTTACGTATATTCTGAATTTACCATGTTAGTGGGTATGAATAAAGGTTATTGGGCATACATAAATTTCAGGCATCTACTGGAAGTCAGGAAAGCTAAACCATTCGATTGGTAATATCCCAAAGAAAGATCCCTTAATACTTCCTGAGACAGAGTTCCCCAGAGACGTCCTGAGTCCTGCTCTTCTAAGGTTTGGGGCGATAGGATACTCCAATATCCTACAACTTTTTGAAAAACACCTGGCTAGTTCACTGTCATATGGAACCAAATGAACCTTAGTTGATTAACTGAACTTGAATTGGTCAGTATGAAAGTCATCGATAATAACGTAAGCTTTATGCATGTATGTAGATTATTGGCTACTAATAATAAACATTCTAAAAACCAGAAGTTAAAGTTTAATTTGTAATTTTTCTTCAAAACTTTAATTTGTAATTTCCTTCAATCTAACCTAAAATTTGAATAAACTCCAGGCCTGGAAGTCATAAGACTTTTTTTTTTTTTCATAAGCAACCTGATAAGGAAAAAAGTAACGATTATGAAATATTTGAACTAGTCAAGTTGTATTTTTCTAAACATACATAATGAACTTATTTTGTTTGCTCTTGATAATATATTATTTTATTTAATTACTTGTTTCATATGTACTATCTTATTTACATATATAGCCTACAGAAGTCATTATGGATTAACCTTGCCTGATATTTCCAGTGAATTCTCCATAGCATCAAGCACAAATGATCGCCTAGGACAGTGGCGGCTTCTGAGAACGCACAGGAAAGTGACCAGGGAAAGAATGATTCCATCTCCAGGAATCCCTGGTGCTCTTCAGAACCCAGACAGGCCCCTGCTGGGTCATGGTAACTAAGAAACTAGAAGCAGATACGGTGGTCCCTATGCTGGCAACCTCAGCTGAAGAGGAACAACTCTCTCTATAATCAAGTTACCAAGAATAAAGAGCAAGTGCAAATTATTTATTTTCTTACTTTTAGATTCCTGCTAGGATAACAAAGAAAGAATTTTATATGGCTGGGCGCGGTGGCTCATGCCTGTAATCCCAGCACTTTGGGAGGCCGAGGCTGGCGGATCACGAGGTCAAGAGTTTGAGACCAGCCTGACCAACATAGTGAAACCCCGTCTCTACTGAAAATACAAAAGTTAGCTGGGCGTAGTGGCGTGCGCCTGTAATCCCAGCTACTTGGGAGGCTGGGGCAGGAGAATCACTTGAACCTGGGAGGCGGAGGTTGCAGTGAGCCAATATGGCACCACTGCATTCCAGCCTGGGCAACAGGGCGAGACTCCGTCTCCAAAAAAAAAGAAAGAATTTTATATAATAAAGGGCCATGACACAACTACATAAATTTCCAGGAAAACATAAAGTCACTGGAAGAAGGGATTACAGATGAGGGCCCATTAAGAGTAAAATAGAACATCTTTTCTCTCCATGGTGGATAGCAGAGAGGCAGAGAGAAAGAGAGGGAAGGAAGCAAGAAGGAAGAGGAGGCAGAAATCAGACTCATCTATAGGGAGCCATGATCTGCACTAGGCACTTCACGAGAGTAGTTTTTTGAGTTTTGTTTTTGTTTTTGTTTTTGTTTGTTTGTTTTTTATTGCCCAGGCTGAAATACAGTGGCATGACCTCAGGTCACTGTAGCCGCAGCCTCCCAGACTCAGGTGATCCTCCCACCTCAGCCTCTAGAGTAGCTGGAACTAAAAGCACATGCCACAATGTCCAGCTTATTTTCTGTTGTATTTTTTTCAGAGATAGGGTTTTGCCATGTTGTCCAGGTTGGTCTTAAACTCCGGAGCTCAAGTCATCAGTCCTCCTCGGCCTCCCAAAGTGCTGAGATTACAGGAGTGAGCCACAGTGCCCGGCCACAGAGTAGTCTTACTGCCATTAGTTGACTTGTTATGCTGCTTGAACCCCACTGCCTGAGCTCTCAATTTCTACCTTCTTTTCTGTCCTCTTAGATCCTACATAACTTACATAATCCAAATAATGCACCTCGCTTTCAACACAATAGCAAACTAATTCCCATTTTGCACATGGCATATTAAAGTGTACTCCAAAGCAGGACTTCTGCCCATCTCTCACATTCAATGTCACAATAGAAAGGCTTAATCACATATAAACTGCCTCTCCCAACGTTGTTTTATTTCCCAATTGTTCATTACCGTGTAGGCCACAAGAGCTAACAAAGGTTTGACAAATGAATAGAACTGCCTTTTATTTATAAGCATCTGTTGATATATTAACTACAATAGAAATACCACATTTTGGTCAGGGTGAGACAAAAAGGTAACAACCTTCAGAATCCCAACATATCATCATTCAATATTGCATTACAATGGCTGTTCAGAAGAGGTTCTGAGTGGAATAAATATGAGAAGTGGATTACTGCACTCTACTCAATGGAAGCATTCCTACCAAATAATAACTGCAGTGATTGATATAACTATTTACGAATGCTTAGAGTATAGATGCTTGAGTAGTAGCTCACTGAATCAAAAAAAGAAGATACAGTCTTCAAACTCACTACATTTCCTTAGAGATGACAAGGAATAAAGTAGAACTGCATGCCATGAAAATATCAAATTTTATCTTTGGCAAAAGATGTAAGGTTTTACATTATTGTCTCAAACTGCATATTCTGATACTTGTTTTCCCCCCAGACTTAATCTTGGCCTGGTGTGCCTCATTTTTATAGGACTTCTGAAACTAGAAATCACCAGCGTGGGGAGAGAACATTAAAGGCAGAGGTGTCTCTTATAAGCACAACATGTGACCAGGTAATATTGTCTGGATTAGCAGCTTTACAGCCTAACTAAGCCCTGAAGCTACAATTATCTGGTCGCATTAAACTGAAATCACCTGAAAAACTTCACACTGAACAAGCCCTTGGAAATGTCTAATCTGCCAGTTTACACTCAGAAGTGAAAGTGGAATTCAGTTGTTAAAGACAAGAAAACAAAGTTTTCTGCTAGGAAGAGTCTCACCTTAGAACCAATGTAGGGTCTGAAGACATTTCTGCAATTTATTTTTATGCCATTCTTTCACTTTTATTTAAAAAGGAGATTTAACCTGATCATTCTCTTTCAAGCCGATGTCCCAAGTACATATGTTTGATGAGGGTACAGAAGACATAAGGAATAAAACTGCATTGCCACAGAGGGAATACACAGCTCTAGATACAAGGCTTTATGCTAATTTTAGCAAAATGTATGTATCTTTTTATATACATAAAGTTATGGCACTATATAAAGAGATCTTTAAATGTGACATACACTGAAGTCCTATTTACTGCCTGACTATTCCTTTTAAAAAATAAAAACTATAAGTAGTGGTTGTATTAATATTAAACTATCTCCAAAATTCATTTTAGTTCTTTGACTTGTAAGATACAGCCAACTCATACACTCAAAATTAAAACCAAGATTTTAGTACCAGATTACAGTTATTTAACAGCAGATCAAAGCAGCTAATCTTAGGCTCCAAATTAGGACCTCACTACTCTGTCTGTTGTAACGCCTCACTTGCCTCTGTTTCCTGTTCTTCATTTGTCAATATTGATGCTGAAAATTCATTGTGTCAGGTTGCAATATATTCTATAAAACCACATTTCCCAAAAGAACAACTAATTTTCTGTACAAAGATGCAATTTATGGCAATTTGGCCATGCTATATCCTGAAGTCAAATATCAAGCTTTCCAGAAAACAAAATTAAATTCTTAAACATGTACAAGTATTAAAATTCTTTATCTCATACATTATTGTTTTATTGGCCAAATTCCTATTTGGGCAAGAATTTAGGTACCCCTTTCCCTCCTCAATTAAATCAGTAAGAAAGAAATAACAAAACACTTCATTTTCTATCCCAAACTAATTTTTAATACTGTCACAAGACTGGCAAGATTGAGAGTTGAAATTTACTCCAGAACACGTACCCTTAGTGGCAAATAGGCAAAATTCACTGCAAAATTACATGATTCTATCAAGTGGCTGTTAACTATCAAACAATATCTATGGTGAACGTATTGCTTTCCATATAGCCATTCTATTTTTCCATACCAATTAATATGCAGTGTAAAATTTCAACTTGAGATACTTATTAGTGTACAGATTTTTCTTAATGACATCATTTTAAAACAATGTGTAACTCAAGTATTCACTGAGAACAGGTTCCTAAATCTTTTTTTGATGACAAGAGTTTCATTTAAGTGTGATGGTTCATATGTGGTGCCATGAAATAGAACGATTGGTTTGATGTACCATGAATTCTCTCTCTCGGTTTTTATAAATCTAGAAGAGTAGAGAAGGCCTAAGCTTGTGTGGACATTCTTCTCAAGAATTTGAGGTTCATAGTCAAAATTTCCGTAATTTATAAGTAAGTCATATTGTTTTGCAATTAAAAAGAAAGTGTGACACCAGGATATATCAATACATCCAAAACCACAAGTAAGATTTTTTCTTACTAGTTAAGATGAATCTAGATTTGGGCACAACTGAAAATAGTTTTGATATAGATAATGAGATTTTAAATACATGAGTGGCTCTGCCTGATTTCATTACAAAAGCCTCTTTGTTTCTATTCTATGATCTTTCAGTGAGAATTTAAAACAGAATACTTTCTCTAAATAAGAACACAATTTGAGACAATTTAAAACAGTCTCTCACTCTTCCTGGCCAGGAGTATGTCAAGAGGGTTCCTTAAATCAGAACTAAGGTTCACATCCAGAGAATATATCCAATGAATTTCCATGAAAGACAAAAACCATACTGTTTTTACTATTGCTGTACAAGGTATGCTCTGCGAATCCAAACTCCATTCCTACTTTGCAGCGTTCAGGTGACCAAAGCGACCTCTGGAGAAGACATTGAAAAATGTACTTCACTTTCCCCCTCCACAGAATATTCAAGCTCATTAGGCTGCCATTCAAAAATGGTATAGTTAAGATCCCCAGCACGCAGCTCTGGCAAACAAGCAAAGTTGCCATTTGTAGAATATCAATATTCTGGATTCCCCTTCCATTTATGTTTCTAAAATACAATAACTATTGGTTGGTTCATGAAAATTAATCAGCCACTAAAATTTGTGATTCTAATTAAAGGTAATGGGAATAAAATAAGTTTTCTTACTGTCTATAGTTTTAATTTTTAAGTGAATTTAGACACTTAGAAACTAAAAAAAAAAAAAATTTAAAATATCAGAAGGATCTGTTTTAATCATTTTTCACTATCCAACTCTATGAAATGAAATAATTCATGTCATTAAGCTTGCAACTTTTTCTTTGGGCTATTCAGCTGGCCATCGAAAGTTATTTTTTGTCTGTTTTATAAAGTTATGTGAAGAATCTCAAAGATTTGCACAGAATAATAAATGTCATAAAGATGGGAGGAGTATTAATAAAATTTGAAAACCTTAAACTGAACTAATTGATTTGCAGCTATATACTGGTTAGAAGCTATTTTTTGATATAGAAGTGGAGAAAAATGTTGAACCTGGTTATGGCTATAAATACTGCATCTCTTCTAAATTAAATCAATTTTCTTGATGAAACTAATTTCTTGCCTGAAAGGTATTAAAATAATTTCATTATAAAGAAAGTTTTGCTACAGTTGTGCTCATTCCCCCACTAAAGTAAATGTTTCAATGTATGTGTCGTGACATGTAAACCACTTTTACAAAAAATGAGGCCATTCTGAAAACACTGGAAGATAAGAAATAGACTAATGTAAAAGATTCAGTTCCAACTTTCTAAATCAACATGATCTGTATTCCCAATGAGTTTATTTTCTCTTCTTAAACCATCCTATCCTATTCCAAACACGTATATTCACTAATAATCAAAGAAATGCAAATGAAAACTGCAATAAGATATCACTTTTCAACTACCCAATTGATACAATTTTAAAACAAGATCATTCTGAGTGCTAATAACTGGCAGGGTTGGGGGTGGTGCAGGGGGGAAAGC